ATTATACATAAATGGCCTTCCAAAAATATTGAAGTATTCAAATATTTTAATGTATGCTGACGATACTGTTCTTTTTTTTGTGATGCTGTAATTCTGAGTGTTTTATGTGCTGCAGAACAGGAACCTGCTGTAAAACAGCAATTATGCTGAGTCAGGCTTGATTTTTAATGATCTTTTCCTGTTAAATAAATAAATCAAATCAAATCAAACTTGATTTCTTTTCCACAGTCCAGCCTTCTGAAAAGGACTGGCGGTCTGGATGAGAAGGTTGACTGGAACTGGTATGCAACATGTGCACAGAAGAGCCAAAGCACTTCTGCAGAACGAATCATCCGACGAGCCTTTTTCTCTCTTCAGGTCCGACGTTCTGTCTCCTGGTGAAATGCAGCGCCTCTCCTTTGCGCGGCTCTTCTACCTGCAGCCAAAATATGCCAGTGTGTTTTCCTCACCAGAGTTTTAATCAGCTTACAGTTTACTTTATGTAATGAGCTATACTGAACCGCCCTCCTTTTATTCTTTTTGCTTTTTAATGCACCAGTCTTAGATGAGGCCACCAGCGCTTTGACTGAGGAGGCGGAGGCACAGCTGTACAGAACGTGCAAACAGCTGGGCATGACTTTGGTCAGTCTGGGACACCGTAGCAGCCTGGTGAAGGTAGGCTTTATATTGAGCAGAGCGTTTCAGCTTTAAAGGAGACACATCCTGCTTTTAAATCCAAACGTCGCATTTAAATTGTTCAGTTTAGGTCTAAAAAAAGTGGAACTGCAATCTGAATTCCTCCTCATTGTAACTCCACAAGCCCCTCCTTTTCTGGGTCGTGTTCGATCAACTTGTTTTGAGGCTGCCTCTTTACATCTACGCAGCACCGGGAGAGAATAAATTCAACTTTTCTGCACTCCTAGAGACTCCAAGTACACAACAAAGTGCATTTAACGGCTAAAAAAGTGGATTTTGCACGATACGTCCCCTTTAAACTTCAACAAAACTAGTAAATAAATTAGTGTAATAAAACAATATTCTCTAAAATCCTTAATTTTTTCTGAAATCTGATGTCTGTAATTAAAAAAGCAATGTATTAACTGTCGTTCTATTTCTCTCAGTACCATGATGTCCAGCTGAAGCTGTGTGGAGGAGGACAATGGGAGGTGACCAAATTAAAAGGAGCCAGAGAGGAGGCAACGTGAACTCAGTCACATGAGAAAACACGGGAAGCAAAAAGACTCCTTTAATTATTCTGTGTCTTTAAGTGTTCTYGAGCGTGACGCTGTTAGCCCAGTTGAGCATTCGGAGGCTAAAGAGCCCCTTCTGTTTCTAAGCTTTTATGTTCCGAGTCATCGTTCAAAATAAGAAGTGGAAATTTTTCAGTTTTGATATGTTTATTATTGTGAAATAGCCTTTTATTGCCTTATGTTCAAATGGTCTGGTGTTAATTTGAGTTTAAAAAAACAATCTTCTTTGATAAAATTCTATTAAAAAACCAAAGTACATCTGTGCATTTCACAGTTTAAGGGCAAATTAATCTCATAGTGTTCAGATAGTCACTAAAAAAGGTTTTTTTTTAAGGCACAGGTTGGGTTAATTAAAATGCAGCAATATGAAATGTGGTAATCTTCATAGTTTTGATTAGATTGGAATGTTTTGTTTCTAAGGCTCGTCATTTTCTTAAGAGCTTTTCGTGGCCTTGAATAATCTCCTGAATCGCTGCAGGATCATCCAGAGTGCTGAGGTCCCCCAAACCGTCCAGGTCGCACTCCACCACTTTCCGCAGGACCCGCCGCATGATCTTACCCGAGCGGGTCTTCGGCAGACGTTTCACAAACTGCGACACAAACCAACGAGTCGAGTTAGTGAGGGGAAGTCGCTTTCAAATCTAAAGTTTCAAAATCAGAGCTGATTTTACCTGAATAAAGTCCGGACAAGCGTACTTGGCGATTTTTTCCGACACCATGTTGCTCAGCTGCTTGGACAAATCCGCCTCCTGAACGTTTACACCTTTTTTGAGCACCACGAAAGCGTACACACCTGGCAGATGAAAAGATGTTTGTGTTTATGTTTGGACACTGGAAAACGTGTATCAGTTTACGCAGAAAATTTGTTACTTGCCTTGACCTTTGATGTTATGAGAATAACCTATGACAGCTGACTCAGCTACTGAAGGACACTGGTTCTGTCACAGATGACACAAATCAAAATCTATCAGTTTACACTTGAAGGAGAAAATTTTGTAAAAATGGCACTGAAATTTAGACCAAAATGCTGTCATGAAAACTATGATTCTAACCTAAATGCTTAATGAATTGAGAAATAATTTATGTAAATTGATTCTTCTCAGACAAAATCAATAAAATGACTTGTTTTAACCACCACCTACAGGCCAAATTGTATTTTTTTGATAAGTTTGAGCAAGTGTTCTCAGTTACTCTTTGACATAAAAACTGTATTTACCACGACGTCCTCTATCTCTGCCGTCCCAATCCTGTGACCGCTCACGTTGATGACATCATCAAGGCGTCCTGTGATCTGGTAGTACCCCTCCTCGGAACGATAGGCACCATCACCGGTAAAGAAGTAACCTACAGTAGAAACACAAACAGTAGGATACAGATTGTTTTTCTGCTCTTTACGTTGAGACAGTGAAGAAGTTTGGGACAAGAACGCATCAAACTACCGGGATAAGGCTGGCAGTAGGTGTCAATGAATCTCTGGTGGTGGTTGTGAATAGTTCTGGCCATACCAGGCCAAGGCTGAGCTATACACAGAGCACCAGATATGTTGTTGGAAGTCTGCACTTTGCCCTGGAGAAACAACAAAAAAGGGCAGATCTTTTATTGGTGTAATTAAGAAAAATCAGTGTGTGCCGTTAAAATTGAAACATCAGATTGAATCTTGTGAAAGTTTGTATCAGCGCAAAAATACCCCTTTCATTGCAAAAGCAATAACAAAAACAGTGCGGCAGATTTTTTTTTTTTTGGCACATAAATGGTGAGACATAGATGAGAGCAGGGTGGGTATCAAAAGTGACCCAGCTACTGACTAGATTATAATCCCAATCTGAGCCCTTCTCCAGGCCATTCCCATTCGTACATCGCACACACACACACACACACACACACACAAAACCAAGCCCTCACCTCAGTGTCCATGAGCACTGGCTTAATGCCAAAGAAGGGTCTCATAGCCATCCCAGGGACAATCTCTGCATCTGGATCTGATGGCTTTGGGGCGATGCAGATGCCACCTGTTTCTGTGCACACACACACACACAAACACACAGTTTTACAATTTAAGGATTTGAGGTGGTCTTATGCAGAAGTTGCCATATTAACAAAGAAGAGCTAAAAATCTGTTAATGTTAGCTGCTATTAATTTCTCTATTACGCCTTTGGTGCTTAGTCCCAACTTAATGAATTAAAGAGAGCATTTTAAAACATGCAAAAATGGTTATATTAATTAAATGATACAATTTTCAGTTTTGGACAAAAGTTTAATTTTGGTGTTCCTCAAGGCTCAAAGTTTGGGCCACTGTTTGTTTTAACAAACAGTAAATATTTGTTCTACTGGCACATCACCGAAAACAATTAGGTCTCACAACACTACTACGTTAAAAATAATTAGCTATGTTTTAAAACCCAGTACACTCAGAGAACAGTATGTGTTGGGATGGTTCTCGGCTACTACCACATCAAATCTAAGCTCAAAATCTGTAAAACTGACTCAGKTCTTGTTTTGACAGAATTATCTTATTAGCAAACATCTTTCATTTGATCTAATTTCTGCAAATCGTCTCAGAAACTTTAACTTGTTTCACAACCCACACAAGGCCCTGACCTTAACCAATGCTTTGTTTGTGCATGTTTCCTTTCATTTTCTGCAAAGTGAAAATCAAATAAATGGGCGTATTTAAAATTACCATTTTTATACTGAAGAAATGAAAGTAATGATTATAAAAACTGTATTTTATAAACCAAACAAAATGAGCCATAAAAGATAGAGCTGAGTAACGGTTTATGAATCTGACATAAGCCCTTCTCATGGCTCCAGATGCAGATTGTGGAATTACAGCCATACTAAGTAAATTAAATGCAATTAGAGCTGCCCAGGCCTCGGGGGCGTCTGGTAATCCACCTTGTGGTGTCGGTGGCACCAGTGCTGGAAACAGCTAGAAAAGTAGGACACAGCAGATGATGCCACAATAGCATTAAGAACTGACATCCTGTTCATGTTAGCTGTGAGAGTTGTGGTCGAAACACGGTCCCAGACAAAAAACTAAGTTAATCTTTCTACTCAATATCAAGCAGCTGTTTTATCTTAAAGAAAACGAGAATTCCCTCACCCAGCTTCTAGTTTGTGTTTTGGTATCGACTGAAGCTTCTCCATCTTCTCTTCTTGCCTGCAATGGTCGATCCAACTAACAGAACGTATTCCAACAACAAATAAAAATCTATTTTTGGGCTACTCGCATCCAGATAAACCAAATGGTCTTTATGAATAATGCCACTTAGCCCTAATTGAAAACACTAGTCTAGAAAAATACCATAACAACATAATCCTTTTTAGCGAAGTAGGGTATTTAGGTCATATCTGTGTCTCTGGCTCTTAAGCTCTTTATGTTCGGATGTTTAATTATCATCAAGATTGGATTTTTGCCGTTCATATGGTAATTAATGCGAGTTCGCCCCATTTGGTTATTACTCAATCTGATTAGGACGAACAGAGGATGAAACACATCGTGTCAGTCAGGTCTGGTGTTCATCCACAAAATAGACGTTATTAGCAAAATCAGCTGATTAGCTGACAGCTACAGCTATAGAGGCATGACGGTTGTTTTGTTAAAACTTTATAGGGTTTTATAGCTCTTAACAACCCATCTACATCTTATATACTTTCCTAAAAGAGCACTGCACTAGACTGCATGTTTACGTGTGGTTCCTAAAACAAGATGCGGAGCTTTCAGCTATCAGGCTCCTCTCTTGTGGAACCAACTTCCAGCTTCTGTTTGTGAGGCTGACACTCTGACTTATTTTAAAACCAGGCTTAAGACTTTCTTTTTTGATAAATCCTATAGTTAGGTTGGTTTGGGTTTCCAAATGTAATCCTTAGTTAGATTGCTATAGATACTAAAGACAAATTTTACACAATCTGCTAGTTTTACTCCACCAAGGTTGCCCTTTGTCACCGATTCTGTTCATAACTTTTATGGACAGAATTTCTCGGCGCAGCCGAGGTGTTGAGGGRATCCTTTTTGGTGGCCTTAGGATCACATCTCTGCTTTTTGTGGATGATGTGGTCCTATTGGCTGCATCAGATCATGATCTCCAGCTCTCACTGGAGCGGTTCGCAGCTGAGTGTGAAGCAGCCGGGATGAGGATCAGTGCCTCCAAATCCAAGACCATGGTCTTGAGCCGGAAAACGGTAGGGTGCCTCCTCCGGGTCGGGGAGGAGTTTCTGTCCCAAGAGGAGTTTAAGTATCTCAGGGTCTTGTTCACGAATGAGGGAAGAATGGAGCAGGAGATCAACAGGCGGATTGGTGCTGCGTCTGCGGTGATGCGGGCGCTGTACCGGTCTGTCGTGAAGCGAGAGCTGAGACAGAAGGCAAAGCTCTCGGTTTACCGGTCGGTCTACGTACCTACCCTCATCTATGGTCACGAGCTTTGGGTCGTGACCGAAAGAACGAGATTGCAGATACAAGCAGCTGAAATGAGTTTCCTCTGCAGGGTATCTGGGCTCTCCTTTAGAGATAGGGTGAGAAGCTCAGTCATCTGGGAGGGACTCAGAGTAGAGCTGCTGCTCCTCCACGTCGAGAGGAGCCAGCTGAGGTGGCTTGGGCATCTGGTTAGGATGCCTCCTGGACGCCTCCCTGGTGAGGTGTTTCGGGCATGTCCCACTGGGAGGAGACCCAGAGGAAGACCCAGGACACGCTGGAGGGACTATGTTTCTCAGCTGGTCTGGGAACACCTTGGGATTCCCCCAGAGGAGCTGGCCCAAGTGGCTGGGGAGAGGGAAGTCTGGGTCTCTCTGCTTAGGCTGCTGCCCCCGCGATCCGACCCCGGATAAGMGGAAGAAAACGGACGGACGGACTGCTAGCTCTCTTAGATGGATAACATTTACCAATTGATATTTCAAAATGCACCAACTGTGAATTTATTATAATTATTAAGGATGCAGAAGATAAATGTGTGATACTTGAAATATAATGACCCATGACTTGTTGCAATATTGATATTATGCTTAATGGTATGACAATAACGTAAATATGCAATATATTATACTGCCCTACTGAACAATAAAACATCTGGTTTMATTTTTGAGTCCACCAAAAGGGAAAGCTCCCTCTCTTCAAACACCCACGTGTGTGTTTGTGTGTATGCACACATAACCATAGTTACAAATGTTACGTAACACTATCCTTGCTTGAGAAATTGAGCTGAGAGCTCTTCCCTTTTCTGTTGGCTGTTGCAGTGCGGACGTGACTGTTTTTCAAGAGGAGGCTGGGAACCTAACTTCCACTTGAACCGGGATCGTGAACGCATCAAGTTCTAAAATCGTACTTCAAAATTCTCAACATGAGCACAGAAACAAATTACAGTGTGTTCATACAGGACAACATATAACAAGCTAATACAAACTGTAGAGCTAAATGAACGTAAGGTACAAATATAAATAAAGTATATATTCAGTCACCAGTTTGCCACCAGGTGTCCACCACAGGACAGCGTCCTTCCCCGACCACCCTGTGGTACCACTCCCAYGCTTCAGTGTTGATTGGTTCACCAACTGCAGACAGATTAAAAACAGCTTGAATTACTTTATGATGTAACTGAATGTTTTGGGTATAAATTACTTGCAAGTGCATTTGGTAAACAGAGACTGACAGTGGAGAGATTTATTTTTAACACCTGATCATCAGAAAAGCAATCTGGTTCAGACAGTTTTGCTATCTGTATATCACAGTTTCAGGGTTTTTCACAGTCCTCTTGATGTCAGACACGTTTGTATTTCTGTTCTTATTAGGACTGTGTATTGACTTACAGTTATTTCTGTAGCCCAACCCTGGCCCTTACCCTAACCCCCAAAAGCAGTTRTTCAGGCCTCTACAATCTTTACTGTCAAAGTGTGGAATAAAACTATAAAACTGAGGTTGAACCTGAGGTTTCTAAAAGAAAAAACAATTATTTCAGTTTGAAGGCAGCATTAATTTTAACTGAGACAAAGTAAAATACAAATAAAAGTCTTCTTAGGWGTATTTTTTTACATGAACTCATCAGGTGCATAATCTAAACTGTTGTTGAAAGTCTAACACTAAGTTTGTTGCATGAATGCCCTGTTGTACCACCTTGTAGYGGTTCAGTAGTTACGTCACATGTTCCTACTGTTCTGTGCCCTTTATGAGGTAACTCCAGGTTAAATGTGGGTTTTTCCGACTCGTAAAGTTGTCGATTATCGTGCAAACTATTGCCGGAAACATAAGCAAAATTCTTATATGATGTTTCAAAGCCAGGTCTAAACCATAACAATTAAATATGAGTTCCCATGTTGGCCTCAGAGCTCGTGCTGAGTGCTGAAATTTTTCAGAAGTTTTTAAACTCAGCAGCAGTTCRTAAATGAAAGTGCTTTTTTTTTCCTTTCAGAGGATCAAATTTCACATACCAGAGCCGAGCGTTTTGAGGGTGGAGCGATCGTACTTCTTCACCCACTGGTCTCCRTACTTAATGAGGAGGCGGATTGCTGTGGGAGCCCCGTAGAACTGGTTAACCTTCAGCCGCTCGACCATGTCCCAGTATCTTCCTGCGGATCAGACGACGTGCTTAAATGAACTTGTTCAGATGTTTCAATGTGAGATAAGGACAATCCAAACTTGTGATAAGAGTTAAAGCAGCATTCTGCGAGGTAAAAACATAAACTACAGAAGATGATTTGTGCTCTGCCTCCTTTTGGACATAATGAAGTCAGATACAGTGGRACGATTGTGGTTCTGGTTCCAAATTTAGCTGCAAAAAGAAGTTATTCACAGACAGAGACAGAGGCCTGCAAGACTCGTGACAAAAATATTGTGGGGAAACAGTTTTTGGTACCTTTCATGCAAGAGTTTTAAAATGAGATCATCAGTGTTGAGAAATGATGGAGTTACAGCCAGTTTGGTCAAACCATGAAAATAACTTTGTGTTTATTTTCACTCATCATAGCAAGATGTCGTGTGATCTGTTGTAACTCAGAGAATGTGTTAAGGATGACTCTCAGCTACAAYCACACCAAATTTTAGCTCAAAATCAGTAAACCTGATTGAGTCATAACCACTGTTGTGTTTCTTATGGTCACTATGAGGCAGCCATCTTGAAACAGGTTGACTCCAAATGTTAATCAAAGATGTACATATAATAAATTTTTGTATTTGCTGAAATTGCTTATCTGTGGCAGCCATTTAAATCACATTGACTTAGAAATTTAATCAGTTGTAAAGGTAATCCAACAGTATATACGCCTCAGATGTGTTGCCATTTACGCCAAACTTCAGTGAAAAATACTTTGATAAACAGCGACGGTGTATCCCCGTAATTATAAACAACAGCGTAAGCGGAAATATAAAACCAACTTCTGCTATGAATTATGGGTAGTGGTGTGAAATCAGGAATACTTTGGATACCTGGGTCAGGGTAAACCGGAGTGCTCTCAAAGAGAACCGTGGTTCCTCCGTTGGCCAGGGGTCCGTAGACGGCGTAACTGTGTCCTGTGATCCAGCCGATATCTGCCACACAGCCGAAAACGTCGCCGTCGTGGTAGTTGAAGACGTACTGGAGACGAAACAGAAAACCACAAGTTTTTGTATTTGTTATTTAAATATTGCTATATGTTGTTTTATTTATTTTTGACGCTCTTAGTTTGAAGTTTAGCCGCTACAGATGCTACACCAGAGGTCTCCAAACTTTTTTTTTCCTCAAGAGCTACTTTCACAAAATTAAATTGTCCGAGAGCTACTTTTTGCAACATTTAATTTTGAACTTAAACTCAAACCATTGGAATAAGCTTGTTTTGCACAAGAAACGTTGTCTTCAATTCACATGAACCCACCACAAAGAACACTGAATTCACATGAATGTGCTTTTTGTGTTTATGCATTCATATTATAGTGTATTTCACACTAATAACTTAGGGTTTAACTGCAACAGATTTGTGCGCAAATAATGTCGGGCGATGGGTCTCAGATTTTTTTTCGCATTGTAGACTCCAGTGGGAAGAAACCCCCTGTAGTGACATACAGTGGTTTGCAAAAGTATTCATACCCCTTGAACTTTTCCATATTTTGTCACATTACAACCACAAACATAAATATATTTCACTGGAATTTAATGTGAAAGACCAACACAAAGTGGTATACAATTGTGAAGTGGAAGCAAAATTTTACATGAATCAAAACATTTTTTACAAATAAAAAACTGAAAAGTGCGACGTGCAAAAGTATTCAGCCCCCTTTTCCCTGAGTGCAACCAATTGCATTCAGAAGTTGCCTGATGACTGCTAATGACTCAAAAGGGTCCACCTGTGTGTAATCTAATCTCAGTACAAATACAGCTGCTCCGTGACGGCCTCAGATGTTGGTTAAGAGAATATTGGGGAGCAAACAGCATCATGAAGTCCAAAGAACACACCAGACAGGTTAGGAATATGGTTTTGGAGAAGTTTAAAGCAGGCTTAGGTTATAAAAAGATTTCCCAAGCTTTGAACATCTCACGGAGCACTGTTCAATCCATCATCCGGAAATGGAAAGAGTATGGCACCACAGTAAACCTGCCAAGACAAGGCCGTCCACCTAAACTTACAGGCCGAACAAGGAGATCACTGATCAGAGAGGCAGCCAAGAGGCCCATGGTGACTCTGGATGAAATGCAGAGAGCCACAGCTCAGGTGGGGGAAACTGTCCACAGGACAACAATTAGTCGTGCACTACACAAATGTGGTCTTTATGGAAGAGTGGCAAGGAGAAAGCCATYGTTAAAAGAAAACCATAAGAAGTCCCGTTTGCAGTTTGCCAGAAGCCATGTTGAGGACACAGCAAACATGTGGAAGAAGGTGCTTTGGTCAGACGAGACCAAAATTGAACTTTTTGGCCACAATGCAAAACGCTATGTGTGGCGGAGAAAGAACATTGCACATCACTCTGAAAACACCATCCCCACTGTCAAATATGGTGGTGGCAGCATCATGCTCTGGGGGTGCTTCTCTTCAGCAGGGACCGGGAAGTTGGTCAAAGTTGATGGGAAGATGGATGGAGCCAAATACAGGGCAATCTTGGAAGAAAACCTGTTGGAGTCAGCAAAAGATTTGAGACTGGGGCGGAGGTTCACCTTCCAGCAGGACAACGACCCTAAACATAAAGCCAAAGCTACAATGGAGTGGTTTAAAAAAAAGAATATTCATGTGTTAGAATGGCCCAGTCAAAGTCCAGACCTAAACCCAATTGAGAATTTGTGGCAAGATCTCAAAACTGCTGTTCACAAACGCTCTCCATCCAATCTGACTGAGCTTGAGCTGTTTTGCAAGGAGGAATGGGCAAGAATTGCAGTCACTAGATGTGCAAAGCTGGTGGAGACATACCCTAAAAGACTTGCAGCTGTAATTGCAGCAAAAGGTGGCTCCACAAAGTATTGACTCAGGGGGGCTGAATAATTTTGCACATCGCACTTTTCAGTTTTTTATTTGTAAAAAATGTTTTGATTCATGTAAAATTTTGCTTCCACTTCACAATTGTATACCACTTTGTGTTGGTCTTTCACATTAAATTCCAGTGAAATATATTTATGTTTGTGGTTGTAATGTGACAAAATATGGAAAAGTTCAAGGGGTATGAATACTTTTGCAAACCACTGTATATCGCAGTGGGAGGGGTTTCTCAGGAGTTTGGCATAGTGTGTCTCAAGAGGCCATGAAAGATGTGTGCGAAAACGAATGCCTAACAACCACGTAACCACGCGTCATCTGTCAATCGGCCACACTGAGACCTAAACTGTTTGATTGACAACCAAGGGGGAGGGACATCTATAGATTGACTGGAATTAAATGAAAGTTTGTTTGGCCAGTGACAAATTAAATTTTGCTTCTCCTAATTTTTCACAAGCACTGCAGAGCTACTTTAAATGAGCTCACAAGCTACTTGTTGGAGACCCCTACACGTTACACGCACAGTGTCTGACACGTCCAGAACTGCTTGTAAGATAGGATGGTTTTTATTTAATTTGGGCAAAATGGCATAAAAATTGAAGTTTAGCACTTGCAAATTTTTAGTGGACCTAATTTAGCGGAAGCTAATCGGCCTGCTAACCGTTTCCAAAAAGCTAGTCCGCTAAGAAGCTATTTCCACTATTAGTGGATTAGCAAAATCGTGTCCACTACTGCTGTAAACTCACATTGGGCTAACTACATTACTTAAAAATGTAGAAAAACTGGATTAGTGTAAAAAAATGAACTCGAGTTTAGATTTTGAAAAAGGAAAAGGGTGACACTGCGGCTGGTTTACCCTGTGTGTGAGGGCAGCGTACAACAGGTACCCAGCCTGTGTGTGGACGAGGCCTTTGGGCTTCCCGGTGCTGCCAGACGTGTAAAGCAGGAACAAGACGTCCTCGCTGTCCATCACTGCAGGTTCACACACCACGTCCTCCTTCAGCATCTCCTGCAGCACAGTGAGGTTTAACATCAACACACCTCAATGATGAACTGTTGGTGTTATTACGTGAGCCGGAGGCCTCATGTCTGCTACTGCCTCCGTCTTTCTCACCTCGTCCATGGGGATGTCCCTGGCTGTCATGGCGACCGGATTGTCTGTTCTCATGGCAACAAACACCCGCCGTACAGACGGACAACTCTGCACCGCTGCGTCCACCGTCCTCTTCAGCTCCGTGACCTTCCCCCCCCTGAGGCCCTGGTTCACCGTGATGACGGTGCTGGACTCGGCTACAAATACACAAAAGGATAAAGTCTGAAAAAACTGCTTCCTGTTGTTGCCTTTTTATTCAAATGTCTTCRAAGTAAGAAAGTAATTTTGACTAACAGAGCTAAAAAAGAATAAAGTGCCTGTGACATGCTTCTCCTTCAAATTCAAAAAGTCAAAGAAAACTTTGTTCTATCTRAGAAACTTGTCCATTTGGACACAACTGACCTATTTTCTTTTGAACTTGGCTCGGCAAAAGGGAAACAGGAAGTGACATCAAAGGGGAACTCCTTTAAGAAAAATAACTCACTGATCTTTGTTTAGTGAAACTTTATGATTAGTGCTGTACCAAATGATTATTCAATTATCAATTAATCTAACTATTTTTTCGATTAATCGATTATTCTAACAACAAATCTATAAGTTATTCTGATGTGAGTG